GACATCACTCAGCCAGGGTATTTACAGCTCGATCAACTTATTTCATTGCCTCACTTTTAACATCCTTTTTTTTTTTTTCCCTTTCATTTACATTTGAAAGTGATTTTTCAGTTTTTTTTCAACAAAACCTTTGTAAGTAAACTTAAAATATTTTCACATCACTTCATATCAGGATGTAAAAAAGATTTTTTTTTTTAGCTTTTAGCAAAAAGTGTTTAAAACAATAGCATGTGCAATCTAGTAATGATATGATTCTTCAAAGCTCTTAAAAAGAGTTTTGAAGTTATTGTTATGTTATCAAAACATCATAATTAATTCGAGATAGCATTTCTTCAGGTTCTTTCCAGTTCAAATCATAATGCGTTAATTATTGCCACAGGTCCTGATTTAGCACAGATAATGATTATCTTTAGCGGAACTACTCACACACTGCTCATATGACTAGAACTAATAACACTTGCACATCTTGTGCAATCAGGTACCATATTAAAAAACAGTTCCTAGGGCCTTTGTTTCTTATTCTACTTGAATTGTCCTCAGAGGGAAGCCTAAATTTCCTATCTCACCGGGTTTTGCTTGCATTATTAGATTAACACATCAGACTAGTTGATCTTTGTCCAGGATCCTGAATACCTGTAGGGGTGTGTGTGCTTATATACATAAATGTCTTTTGCAGGTAGATGAAAACACACACAATTATTCACACACAATTATCTGCACATCTCACCTAAGTAGATTTTTGTATCTTATTTGATTTTTTTAAGCAGAAAGTCCTCAGAAGGAAGGCTGGGAATTGCCTTTCCCTTCATTTTCTCATCAGCCTCTTGCACCATGAATTAATTCCTCTGCCAAGTGGATGATTTTAGTCTGATTCTCTCAGGCAGAATAGTTTATAAGACTTGATGGTCTTGTATCCAGATCAAGTGATACAGTGCTCCAGTCACCTGGTCAGTAAACAAAAGATTAGTACTGCTGCATTCAAAAGGAAGATAGTGTGTCCTGCCTTGACAAGTGTGTCCTTACTGCTCGACTATGCAGCCATATGAGACAACCATGGGACAATAGCCTTGCTTTGAGCTTGAGGGGAAGAAGGCCCAGTTCCCTTTCCAGTATTGCCTTCAGACTCCTAAATGCAGGTCCCCATCAGTGTGCTTTCATTCTGAGGTGTTGAACATCTCATGTGGGACAGTTTGATACCTGACCTAGCTTGGGGCTCTCAGGCGTCACATGCTTGGGAGCTTGCAGAGAGAGGCATGTGTGTCACTTAGGCCACTGCTTTTTGCTATGTATTCCTATAGTTCTCCCTTCTGTCAGATTCTCTCATCTATATTAATGCTCTTTTCTGAGAAGATGGTGAAATTTTTCACCAATACAGTCCAAAACCAATTAGTATCTTCATAATCCACATTGTATTCCTTTTGAAGTTTGTATTTGATAAGAACATCTGTAAGATTGCATTCTCCTGTGTATGGTTCAGCAGTAAGTAACAAATCTAACACGTGAGCAGGCCATATCCACGCTACAAAATCCTTCTGGATTACAATACATCTTGTGCACTTTTCCTCCATTTTTATACTTAAAATAAAATTGTCAAGATTTGTACATGAAAAATGAATTTCTTGAAGACAGATGAATCAAAACCTGCATGAAGGAACGAGCTTATCTGGATTTCCTGATGGAGAAATGCAAGTTAAAATGGAAGCTAGAGTTAATGGAAAATAAGAAGTGTCTTCTAGGTTGCCCCTTGATTTTGGCTGTGATAGAGTTAATTTTCTTCATAGTGGCTACTGTGGGTCTATGTTTTGGATTTGTGCTGAAAACAGAGATGATAATGCAGAGATTTTTCATTATTGCTGAGAAGGGCTTACACAGAGTCAAGTCTTTTTCTTCTTCTCACAGCACCTCACCAGCAAGTGGGCTGGAGGTGCACAAGCAGTTTGGAGGGGATGCAGCTGGCTCAGTTGACCACAGCTGACCCAAGGGATATTCCATATTATATGGTGTCATGTTCAGCATATAAAGCTGTTGGAAGAAGAAAGGTGGCGATATTTGAAATGATAGCATTTATCTTCCCAAGTGACAGTTACACATGATGGTGACCTGCTTTCCTAGAGATGGCTGAACTCCTGCCTGCCCATGGGACGTAATGAATGAATTCCTTGTTTTGCTTTGCTTGCACATGCAGCTCTTGCTTTACCTCTTAAACTGTCTTTATCTCAACCCAGGAGTCTTCTGACTTTCACTCTTCTGATTCTCTTCCCATCCTGACTTGGGAGAGTGAATGAGCAGCTGTGTACGGCTTGATTGCCAACTGAAGTTAAACCGTAACAGTCCTTTGGAACTTACTGCTAACACAACCAATTGGTGTCCTTATAGGAAAATGTACGCTATCAGTATTAAAAAAACAAAGTTTAACATTAGTGAGAAAGTATGCTCCATTTTTCCAGAACACTGAAATTTTTAATTAATAGGGAATTTTTTATTTATGCATTCTCTTTCTCTGATACCTTGGCAAAGTAGTAAACTATATTACAAAAGGAAACAAAATGTATAACTGTAAAAGCAAGAAACCCCAGAAAACAGAAAAGAATAAGCATTTGCTCTCTTGGAGAGTAAGGAAGGAATTCTGCGCATTATCTTTTATATACCTTTTTTTTTTAGCACAATGGAACCTGGAAAAGGAAGTCCTCTTGATGGGTAAGCTACTTGCTGGGCAACATGGCATCAACGAATTGCTATCCTATGATGTCAAGCTGTAAGTTATAGTCTCATTATGCTGTCCAAGATACAGACTGCAATAAATGTGTTTTTGTTATTGCAAGCAACACAAAAATATCCTGCTTGATATGATTTTGGATAGCATCAAAAAGTAGCTTGAAACAGTCCACCCTCCAGAATCTCTGAGGCTGATAAATATACTTTAAGTTAGAAGGCAAAGAAAATAACAAGGATTAGTAAGTAAAGTAGAAAGAACTTTGATTCTCAGCAGAGGTTATGTATATCTGTTTTTCTTTAAAGGTAAGATATACCACAGCATTTCATTGCAAGTGTAAGGTTCTTGTAACAGATTGAGACTAAGGGTAAAATGTTGTATGTTATTTCCCAAAGAAGAATGTTAGCAGAGTATTGTGGCTGTAAGGCCAAATGTTCAGTCTTTAGGAAATACCAGAATTAATATTGTCCAGCCTTGCTGTGATAAAAATGCCTGTTATAATGGGAATAGGCATGACATGTATTGCCAGTGATTTAATGACACAGGTGTAGAGACAGGCCTCTTGTGTCTCTTGTGGGATTGGATATATTCTAATGGCTCATTTGTTTCTGACCTCTGCTAGCATCTGCCCTCCCTTTCCTTCTCACTGCCTTCTCCCAGCACTTACCCATCAGCTTTCATCCCCAGCTTCTCTTCTTCCACTCTGTAAAATGGTTGCCTAATCTTCAGAGATGCAAAAATTTCTTCTCCGTAGCTTTGATTACGGCATAGAAGCATTTCCAGCAGGCCTTGTATACTGCCTGTCAGCTGTGGTGACTTCCCAATGACTTTTTTCTTGATGGAAATTTAGGTATGGGTAAGCATCAACTTGTGTACAGTTTATTGATCCTCCTTGAACAGATACCTGCAACACTCAACAGGATGCAATCTTACAGGGACAGCTTTGTTTTGGTGCAGCGGTGGAAGGAATTAATGGAAGGGGATATATGCTGGCTTGTGTTTTGTGATTGCTTTTCAGTTCTGCTACAGGTAATGAACTTGGACCATAGGTTGAAAATTTCTACTTTACTGCAATGCCAGTATGAGCTAAGAACATCTGTGTTGCTATTTGTGTGCTTGTATGCATCTGCAATTAAAAAGGTATAATTCTTCAGGAGATCACTCCATTTATCCCCATTTTGCCTCACTGCTAATAAACAATGTGATCTCTCTTAATGAAAATTTAGGGTAATTGGTATAAGTTTACAGAGCTAGCTGAACTGGAAATACTCAAGTTCCTCGTTTTCATCTTGTACATCTTATTCACTGTTTTATAAGCTATAATATGCCAGTGGCCACATGCATTGTGGGCTACTTTTTGACAGTTCATAATGCACTTGTAGTTACTGGGCAATGGCTCAGTGATTTATGGATTATGGATACTACCTTTCAAAATCTGGTGGTTGCCATCAGCCTCTTGGGGTATTCTGGCAAAGTGGAATCAACGGGATGGAGACTGCATATTTCACATCTACGTTATAGAAATGGCACTGCAACTGCTAAGTTGAATGACAAAACCATCCAACATAATGGAGATGGGTCCTACAGGGGCAACCAGCTCTGTTAAAAATTTCATTTCCTGCCTTACTTTGTCCTTGAGCAATCTGTCTATATACAATATTCAACCTTGAATATTCATTCAGTGATGCCAGCATGTCTTCTTTAGCACTTGCTGAAAGGTGTATAGGCAGCCTTGTTTGTGTGCTGCTGAGGTCCCTTTCAGTGGTTTATGATTCAGAAGACTAATCTGAGGATACAAGCCATTCACTGACCTCATGTCTCTCTTTGCAGTTAATCTCTGGAATTGACCAGTAAGTGTGGTTTCTTAGCAGTGGTGGTAGTGTATTTTCAAGAAAGCCCCAGGAAATCTTCACCAATTCCCAAATAGTCACAAGCAATGGCCAACAGCAATGAGTGAACAACTCTGTTGACTGGAAATGTCTCACTAGAGTGGTAATGTCACACCATATTCTCTAAAGAAATACAGAGACAGTTCACTAATCACTTGCAGCCTGCTCCTCTTAAAAAAAGACCTCAAACCACTAAAGGTGGTACCAAAAGTTGTGACTGAGGTATGAAGTAGAAGCAGAAGGGCTTTCCAAATCCAAATCTTCTTTTGAAATCCTGACAGAGAGGTTACTACTCCAGGGGAGATATATTCCCTGTTCTGCTCCCTCTTACCTGCAGCCCAACACCCAGCACTGTTAGTCTGTGGCTGGATTGGACAAACTGTCCAGAGTATCTAATGTCATTGCTGCTTGTTGTGCATCTTCTCTGGCAATTTTTATTTGATCTATTTAATGATTAACGGGCGTGCATTGCTTAATCCTGTTCAATGGTACTGAAGAGACGGAACAGACAAGACCAGATGGACACAGCAAGATACCTTTTGTAGCACTGTAAGTACCCTTTTAATTTGCCCTTGGACTGTTTGCACATTATATGTGGGGGGGATTATGCTGTTGCCTGGGAAGGACACCTTTTTACATGTAAACAAAGGTATATACTTCACATGCAAAAAAAACCAAAATGTGCCAAAAGTCGGCAAAAACTGGCTGTTAGTGAAGAAGATACTCCACATAATTAAATAAAAATTTGTTTTGGAAACAATAAAGATGCCTATAGACTTTGCTACCACAGTGATCCAATATTTTATCTTTGAAGAAAGAGTAAGTACTTTGAAATTTTGGTCCTAGACAGTAGGATGCGTGTTTATACCTCATTTTTGTTTAAAACGCATTTCATTCTCTCATTATTTGATGAATTAACAGGGCTGCAGTGGCCATCCTACAGTACTGAGTGCAAAACCAACTTCCTCCTCCTACTCTGGGCAAAAGGTTATAATTTTCCAGTTATTTGCAAGTTTTTAAAAACTCAGTCTTACCCTATTTTTTAAAAGTCAATATGATCCAAATGACTCCTTTTGAGAGAGTACTTGGTTATACAAGTAGTGTATCAGGAGGCATATTCTTTCTGGAGATCACTGGCATGTATTAAGAATGTGAAACATAAAAGCGTATGATTTTAGAGAACAGGTGTGGTCTGAGAGCCTCATTTTACTTGGCTAGATGCACAGAACAAATAAATTCATTTCCATGCCATATTTTCTATGTTTATCTGTTTTCCAGAAACAGTTAAAAGGAAAATGAAGCCCATCTTCTCCTTGTGTTTATTGCTGGCTGGTTTGTATACTGCTGCCCATTGTCATCAGCATCCTCATTATCCCAATAAGCAGGATGATCCTAAAGGGATGTATTACCCACAACGCAGTTCTCATGGGAAAGGAATTTATCCAGTTAAGAACAATACTTTTGGCAAACTAGTTTCCAGCAATGCTGACTTTGCATTTTTATTTTACAAGCTGATTGCATCTGAAGCAACTGATCAAAATATTTTCTTTTCACCCATAAGCATCTCTGCTTCCTTTGCAATGCTGGCACTTGGTGCCAAGTCAGCAACACTGACGCAGATTCTGGAAGGGCTTGCCTTTAACCTGGAAAAGACTCAGGAGCAGGAAATACATGAAGGTTTTTGCCAGCTCCTCCACATGTTGAATCGCTCAGACACTGAACTCCAGCTGAGCCTAGGCAATGCCCTTTTTATAGAAGAGACACTAAAACCACTACAGAAGTTCCTTGATGATGTCAAAAGCTTTTATGAATCTGAAGTCTTTTCCACTGATTTTAACAACTCCTCTGGTGCAGAGAATCAGATCAACAGTTATGTTGAGGAAAAGACAAATGGGAAAATCACTAAACTAGTGGAAAATCTTGATCCTTTCACCACCATGATTCTTGTTAACTATGTCTTCTTTAAAGGTAAGAAATATCAAAGGGTGTGAAGGTTGTAACTTAGATGCTTGCTGTTTATTACAAGGAATGAAAACAAGAGAAAGAAACTGTAGATTAAATATTTTAAATGGAGGAAAACAAGTTCAGCATCTGTAAACCACATACTGCTATAAACTCATGTATATTCCTTGTCAGTATAAATGTGTCCTCACCTGGTTGAGTGAAAGACTAGTGGGTTTGGTTTTTTTTTTTTTAACAGTTATCTTTGTTTAGCTTAGTAAATTCTTTATGTTTTATAGGCTCATGCTCTACTGAAAGATGATGTTTTCAATATTATTTTTTTGCAATCGTCTTTAAACACGTGAAATATAAACCAAAAGAGCTGCATCGCTGTAACACCTGGGGATGCAGTAGCTTGAAAAAGATATTTGCTCTAATCAAAGGAAGGCTGTGGGACTAGGTCCCGTTTTATGCACCATGACCATTCCTCTTTGTATTCCACTGAATTATTTTTCTTTTTGCCCTAAGCCCAGTGGGAGAAACCCTTCAGTACTTCATACACAAAACAGGAGGATTTTTTTGTGGATCAGGAAACATCTGTAAAAGTTGACATGATGTATCGAAAGGGATACTACAGAACTTACTTTGATGAAGAACTGTCCTGTTGGCTAGTTCAGATACCTTACAATGGAAATGCTGCAGCATTATTTGTTTTGCCCGACAAAGGGAAGATGAAGCAAGTGGAAGATGCTCTCTTGAAAAGGACTGTATCTAAATGGGGAAAGTTCCTCCGAGACAGGTAAGGGTTTTTGCTGAAAGGTGACCATATTATAGATTAGTAGAGTTCATCTCACCAAGACACAACATCAAAGGCCACGTTATTCTACTGAACTCTGGTCGCTTGATGGTACCTCTCTACGCACGACTTTTTAGTACAAAAGTTACAAAGAACTGTGGCTAGCAAATAAATAGGTCATTGAACTTGCGATCCACCTAGGGTTAAGCTCCTGGCTCAACCAAAAGTTGCTTAGCACCAGAATGAAGATAGCAGACCCTTGTTTCATAAGGATATTTTGAAACTATAATGGAGTAGCTATTGGGTGTTTGGATATTGAGACCATTATAGGTAAAAGCAAGAATTTCACTCATTCACCATTACTGCAGCTACTCCTGTGGTGGCCCAAGCCCTGTTGCATATTCAAACAGCCTTAGGACAACTGGTTATGATTTCTTGAAAAAACCCTGCTCCCTGCTTGCCACAGAATTGGTACAGTTGTGTGATGTTGAACCCAGTGTGGAGGCAGAGGATAACACAGGCTCATTCTGCTTCAACCCTTCCACATTAGATAGCTAGCCTGACCAGAAGTGCTACCTGAACCCTGAAAGCAGACTTTCAACATTAAAAAAATAAATGTGAAGTGTCATTATACTGAAGCCATTGAGGAGTGTTACCTAGATGATAATTTGTCCCCATTTGTGGTATTTTTTTACAGAAAAATACATCTGCACATTCCAAAACTTTCTATTTCTGGTACATATGATGTGAAAAGTATAGTCAAACAAGTGGGGATGATTGATCTGTTCACTGAACAAGCTGATCTCTCAGGGATTACTGGAGAGCCTGGACTAATGGTTGCAAAAGTAAGTCAGCACATGAAACGCAGTGACCACAGAATTTGTCTGTTCCAAGGAACCTGACATTAATATCCCATGAAAAGCTTATCCCTCTCTCTCTGAAACATCACTCAGTCATCAACAGCTGCCAGACTAGAGACAAAGCATTCTGTATATTTCCTAAATCTGAAGCCAAACATGCTTGCAAGGCTATACATACATGGTTGGAGAACAAGAAAGAAGACATATATATAATTAACTGTTCTTTTAGCTACTAAACAAAATTATCCAAAGCTAGCACATTAGCTTTAGTAAAATTTCCCCTAATTCTGCATGCAAAGGGCAAAAGGCTGTTATTCCTGCCATTCTAGTACTTTCAAAAAAGTTGTTTTTTTTCAGCTAGATGGTAGGGTAAATTCACAATACATGAAGCTGCCAAAGGCAAAACTAAGCCTAGGCTAAATTACCAGGTTTCTTTGATACCAGAGTTTCTTGCCAACAGTCATCTTGATCGCTCTTTGGCTGTCTGCTGTTTGAGGGTTACTCTCTCCACATGCAGTGAGGGAGGCTAGCAGGAGTGGTCTGATAGCTGATTGCAACCGCAGTGGAAAGGCTAGTGTCTGGTGATGACCTTTGCAGTGGTTGGTCCTGCTGGGTCTTGCTCCAGGCAGGGCTCCCTTTGGTGAGAGCGAGGAGGGTGGCAGGCTGCTCTTTTCTTGCCAGGTTGTCATCTGGAGGTTTTTTGGCTTCGTGTCTTTGCAGGTGATCCACAAAGCCGTACTGAATGTTCATGAAAACGGCACTGAAGCAGCTGGGGCCACAGTTAAGGAGATTACCTGGCGATCTGGCGATTTTCCTCACCCACGTCGAATCAGATTCAACAGGCCTTTTCTCCTGGCAATTCTGGATAAATACACCCACAGCATCCTTTTCATGGGAAAAATCGTAAACCCTCTGAAAAATGACTGATCTACCAGAGAACATGCACTTACACATTGCCGGCTAAATCCCTGCAATCCAGTGAAACACCTGTGCATGCACGCCATTATGTACTAGTGCTCATCTTTCACCCATTATTTTTATATACATTAATTAATCCCTTAAAAAACAAACCCTATTTTTCCTTGTATAAAAGTCGCTGGTATTTCCACCAGTCTATAGCTGGGGATAGCTTGCAGTGTCAGAGCAGTTTTTACCAGTTTTGTAAGAAGCTCTTTTGTAAGAAGCTGCTGACATGCTCCAGTGGGTTATTTGAGGTGGCTCAAAGCCTCTGGATAATGTAGCTACTGCTGTACACTCACGGTGTGTGTACTGGACAGCAGGAAAAGGGAATCAAGGAAAAGAAGGTGTAAGGTATAAATCCTGTCTCTTTAATACTCTAACCTTAATGACTAGGTTTAAATACAGATTCCCTTAATATTGGAGTGAATTTCCATTAATTTATTTGGTTTTTAACCAAGTATGGTGTGAAGCTGCAGGATCAGTGACTGGGACACTGGAAGATACACCAATGTAAAGTGTTGATGAGTGTAGCTGGTTTAGCTTGCCTCACTTTTTCCTCTTCAGAGGAAGCCATCCTCATGAAAACAAGAAGGTTGGTTTTGCTTTACGAATAATATTTATTCTACTAAGCAAGGAAGCCATAGCAGCAAAAGGACTCTGTTTTATCCTGTTAATACAGCTATTATTGCCAATGCCCTGAGATAAAAGTATGATGGAGCAGTACATGGCATAACACCAGTTTTCTTATTATGGGTTTATCATCACTGTCATTTCTCCTGATGCCATGTTTATTACACTTTCCAGCTATACATGTCAGACTGCAGCAGAAAAGAGGAGGAATAGGAGATTATAACCCTGGAGAGTTTGCATTTCTTCACTAGGAAGAGCAGAGGTTTCCTAGGGACTGTTAACATGCTTTAAATTATCATAGAGACACATAGAATATGCAGCTAATGTTTGAGAAGTCAAATTCCTAAATGGTAGAAGCAGATTACTGTTATGGAGCAAAAACATACTGTTAATTGAATTCGTACCTTTACACTTTTAAGGTTTCTTGAGTTTAACTTATTGCTATTATGTTGTTTTATAGTGAGATAACTGAGAGGATTTTAACATATCAGATACACTATATAGTTGTACAGTTGTGAAAAGAAACACAAATCAACCAGTAAATATTTAATTTCTTCTTTAATTTTTTTAATCAACATCCTTAGCATGTCTTAGTAAAATATAGAAAGACGATGAAAGTGCTTAAGTTACAGATTTATTAAAACTTTTGCAGCAGAATCTCAAACTGTTAGAGAAGTAAAATATAATGGCAAATTTCTAGACTTTAGTCTCTTAAAATATCTGTGAAAAATATAACTTGAAAGTTATGTTGAATATTTCTAAAATATAATTATTTTGATTAGTTTGGGGATCTTTACTTTCTTTGAAGTTATTGACATCAACATTAGTAAATTGTAGCTGTAAGTGTACCAATAAGGAACATAAGAATCTTTGTATATCAAACTGCCAGTCATGTAACACTTGACATTCACTCTCAAAGCCCTCATCAAAATCATGTAAATTATTAACAGAAGTTTCTTACTCATAATTGTATGTAGTCTGTTCAATATTTAGTAACAAACAGTTGGCTTCATACCTCCACAAATAAAAGACCTCTACACATAAGACAAAAAAAGTCTTAGTGCAATACAGTTAAACAGATTCTACAGAAAATCATTCAAAAACCCTTGGCAAATATCAGGGCTAATTCAGGACAGTGTGCCAAAGTCCAGCTTTGCAATGACAAACAACTCTGTAGGCAAGACTGTGTTTGTTGTACTTCATGGACCTCAGATCAATAGTCTCCATTTGTTAGTAGAAAAAAAACCCCAAACCAAGACTAAATGTCATTTTGCTAATCAGATCTCACTGAGGGGTAACCTTGTTGCTCAATTTATTTGAAAGTAGATGAAGAAAATTTAAGCTGAATTAAGATCTGGATAACTAAAAAATATCAAGTTGGTAAGGAATTGTCTACAAGGGGGAGTAGCAACCATGCACATACGTTTTAACTTGGTTTTCTTTCTATTTTGACTACAATCAGGGAACATCCATCACTGGAAGTGTGCAACAAATTTGTGTGGTAAATAACAAGTACAGAAGGATTGCACAACATTCCCAAAACTGTCAACCTTAAGGTTATCACAAATCCAGGGCAGTCATAGTTTCTGCAAGACAGTGCTTCTCATCAGACAAGAGATATTGCAGGCTCTCATAATAATTTAGGTCCTTTTAATTTGTTTTCTAACATAACAACTAAATAGCCACATACTGTTAGCATTGTCTTGATACTGAATAACCTATTGCATTCTTCTACTGTGTGATATTGCTCTTTCTGCATGCCACTTTTAGGACATAATGACAAAGAAAAACATTAGTAAGTTTTATAAAGTTCTTGTAGGGATTGACACCATGATGATTCAGGGATGGTGAGGTAGGAGTGTCTCCTTAATGACAGCATGCTTTTCCTGGTGCTCTTCATTGATTAGCACACCCACATTCCCATTAATTAGAAAATGGTTATCCCTATGGGAAAATAGCACCCTTCATGTCACATACCCACCACTTGCGGGTGTCTGATTTCTCAAAATCAGATGTCATGTATTTCATTATGTATCCAGACTGTCTAGCAATTCTCACACAATTAGTAATTAACAGATATTTCTGGGCAATACTATGTGAATTTCTCAGCTCTTGAAAAAGTTGGTGATTACTTATGGCTAAAAACCTGGCTTCTATTGCCACCAGAAACATGGCAGCTATGAACATGCTGTGGCTGAGATCCACACAGCCAGTGTCCATCACCTGCTAATGACACTAACACCTAGGCTCAGGAAGCCCTTGTGAAAGATGTATTGCTCAAGGCAGTGCTTTCCTGCAGCCTACACAGAGCCTCGGTAACCACAAATACCTCATGAATGTCCCTGGCATATGTCAGATTGAGTTACCAGCAGCATAATTGCATATGTGAGGTATGGTTTGGGCTCAGAATGGGGGGTCTGAAGGCATCAACAGCTTCATTGTTGGAATGGATCTAGAAAATATTTTCTGGAAGGGAGTGTATTTAGTCATACCACTGGCTGCTAAGAGACTGCAAAAAACAGACCAAAATGAATGCACTTCACACAAAAATTCCCAGGCCTTTTGAATGGAGAGCCATAATATTAACTCAGTAATTCTGCTATATATTAGATTCCTGGCTTGTGCTCTGTCATTTGGCTGGGAGAAAAAATATCTGTGGGGAAGAATGGAAGGTCTGTGGTTGTTTGACTCCTGCAAAGTCTTGGCAGAGAGCTGTATTTGTCTTCAAACACAACATGGTTTGGTCACTTCTGTCTTACACACAGAATGAAATTTCTTTCCTATTAGAAAGATACATATGAAGACAGTACAGTATTATGATAATTAAATGCTGATGCACACAGGCAAGTCAATCACTACAAGTATTGATGCTTTTCACACCTTTACTTCTTTAAAACTTCCCTTCCGTGAATGTGAAGTTTACCTGGTTCCAGACTGTGGCTGCAGCTTTATTCCAGATAAAGGTTCACAGGATGCTTTTCCTGAGAACCTTCTGAGAAATGCTTCTAGATTATGGTCTCAGAGTTTGAAATTATGGAACTGTCAGAACATCTCACTAGTTCTTCCTACTTCAGCTTTCCAGGAATAGCCACCTGCTTCAACATCCAGAAACCTATGATTGCCATAAACCAGAAACAGCTTCATAAGTCAGAAACAATTTCAGTCCTAAGCCGTTTCAGTCTGGGGAAAAGGGCTGGAAAAGAAGTAGGGTTACACTGACCATCAACAATGGGTGGATCCATAAGCAAACCATGCTCTAGCTGAGCTGTAGGCTTTCCACCTCATTCTTCATATCTTGTTCCCTCTGGGTAGCTGATTTTGACATTTCTTATGAGATTTGTCCAGTTTAAATGGACCTGTAAGTGTTTGTTATGAGTTAATTGAAAAATGCATCTCAGATTTTTACCACAGCAGCTTCTAAAGCACCCGAACCACTAGATGCCTGCATTGAAAAAAGAGAAAAAGGAAGAAACCTTCCTCAGAAGCTAATTTGTAATCTCCAGGATTGGTTTTACTTCTTATCTGGTTGCATTATGATGTATAGAGTGCAAGCAATAGAACAAAAAGCAGAAGAGAACAATTTGGCTAAGGGGGCATCTTGCAAGTGGTGTGAACATGAGAAAACACTTGTACTAGAGACCATGCTACCTGTGTTATTTATGGTATATTTTCTTATTTCACCTGTGTAAAAAGAGTGGGTTTGGCAGTGGTGATAAAAGGGAATCACTCCTCTGCAAAGCAAGAACTTGGAAAATAGCTGGTTTTGTGAAATGGTGAGAAAATAGAAATGTTCTTGGAGGTTCTGTGAAGAAATATGTCATGTCATGAAGAACACTGGGCTTCCTTGCAAAAAAACCAAAAGTATATAAAAGCAGGTGGCAGGGAGAGTGAGATTGCCAGGGTGGCCAAAATGTTTCCATTGTGATGTGAGAGTCTGAGGTACAAGCTGGGGTCCTTCTTGAACCTGCCACAAGACAGAGAAGCAGGGAAGTGAGAGCAGACTAGCAGTACACTGGAGCTAATTAGCTTATCTGTCTGGGCAGGCCACCACACAATTATAGACTTTGAGTCTTTCTAAGGCTTGACTGGAACTTAATTAGCAGGTGTTAAAGCTTTTGGCATAAATAAACCAGAACATGATGCCAATGGAAAGAGAATCAAAGGAAATTATTGTAGGGAAGAAGATTTTCTCTTAGTTCAGTCAGATGTTGGCTAGTCACAGGGCACAGGCTCAGACCCGTGCAAGTGCAAGTGCACTATTGCTTCTTGGAGTCCAAAGGTTCGCTGGAACGAATTTATATTTGCATTGTCTTTTGTTATGTTTATAGCATAGATAAAGGTGGCTCTTTTTTAAGCTTTTGACTAGTTTTTGCAGATCCTTGAGTCTTTGGGGCAGGCTTCCTGAATTCCCTTGTCTAAGGCCATGTAACATTTTTAGAGCACTGCAGCAAAAGGAGTTTCTCTTCTGAGAGATATTTAAATCTGTTCTGACAGCAATTTCCACTTCAGTATCTGTTCAAAGACTGCTCTCTGCCAAGCTCAATGAGCTGATGGATACCTCTCTCTTTTGATTCCGTAGATCTGGTACAGTGAAGTTAAACCCAGTGTTTAGTTTAGACTCATTGGCATCCAGCTCATTCAATGAAGTCCTATGAATCATAAAAGAAACTCAGAGGTGATCTGAGTTTCAGAACCCAAACTGAGGTGTTTCACTTTTGTGTCATTTTTTGGATAATGCAACATGTTTCCTTAAAGAAATAATTCACTTTATGCACTAAAAAGAAATTAAGAAAAAGACAAAACCACAGTTGGGATAAACATATAATTTTAATTCCTGCTTCTTTAAAAAAAAATCTTTTCCACAGTTGTGTTGCTGTACAGATGAAGGCACCACAGATATACATCATCATTTAACTCAGCACAGCAAAATTAAAAGAGCAAATTAGTTTAGCAGCAGTAAGAGGGGTCTGATATGCCCCATCTTTGTATTTTTTAACAGTAAAGGCAATGTTTTGCTCTCATTTCTTTTTTTTTTTACTGAGATTGATCCCCAAGTGTTCTTCCATGATCTCCCAAGAAATCCAGTTCTATTTTC